ACCGAGAGGCAAAATAATTTAGCTAAGAGGCAAACCTCTCCTCAGGGGAACACAATCATTTCCTCTGATAAGAATTCAATGATGCGCTGTTGGTGTTGGTGGGAGATCCTGCAATAATAGAAGGTCCATGTGTGAGGCCACTGCTTCAGTGTTGTGATCAGCACAAAGAGCCAGTCCCTGCATTGGAGAAGTCAACAGTAAAGCCATTCTAATAGATGGTACTCTAAGATTGTGAAGATGGCCACACAGTAGGTATGAGAACATTCTATTATAAATGCTGCAATCGTCTCATCTCTCTCTTCTCTCACCTCATCACAGATGACTCCTCTAGGTCTTTCCCACACTCCTAAGAATGAGGTTTGTAAAGGAGTGAACATTTGTAACATAAGTTACATTTATATAGCGCCTTTCACATTGGGAACCATATCGCCGAGCCCTTGGAATCAAATCCAAAGATGCTTGTTTGCAACAGCAGGGAGCCTCCCACAGAATTGTCCCTTGTGCTGGGCGTGAGATTTGAGATCACACCAACAGGTCAGCCTGGGATGTGCACACCAGCTCATCCTCTCTTCTGAGAGATAAAGTGCAAAAATGGGAGAAAGTGAACTGGTTGGTGAAAACAGGGTGAACTGGCTTGCTTGATGGCCCACTGCAAATTCACCTTCACACTTCTTTATTTTTCTCTCCTTCTCCCTCTGCTGAAGCCACTAACACATGCTGAGATACAGCTGCAAGCTAGCCCTGGTGGACATTGCTCACTAGTGAGTACAGACAGTGAATCCTCAGCAGGCTGTGCAACTGTGAGGCTGACCCTAATTTTAACCTGATATCTATATACAGTACCTTACAGCAAAGCAAGCCTTGCTGAATGATTATTAGGAACCCTGATATTTCCCCTAACCTCATGGGCAACTCCAGCCAAGATTTGCATAAATCTGAAACCTTCCAGGTCTGAGTCCATCTATAATGCATTGAGCTGTTAGGTTGAACTTTCAACCAAAGAACTTTATTTTCATATAACACAATGATTACCCACTAAAGTTAGGGGTGTCATCATAGCAGTGAAACATTCTAATCAAAGACATCATTAAAGAGGACCAGAACAGTCATCCATCCCCACATCTCCTCTATTGAAATTTGGCCTTTCACAGATCACAGACAGTGTTTGTTTATTATTGAAATCTCTTTATCCTTCCATCATGATAATAATCCCTGCATTTGATATAGATCTTTGCATTATTACGCTGTAGAGGCATCTCAAATTGCTTCATAGGATTTACTTTAAAGTATAGTGACTGTGTACTTATAGACATAGATGGCAGCCAATTTGCATACACCAATGTCCCAAACAGTAATGAAGTGAATGACCAATTTTATTTGGAGGATTGTGAGAGAGGACATTGGAAGAAACTCCCTTTACTTTGAATAGTGCCCATAGGATCTTTCTTGTCCACTTGAACAGGTAGACCGGTGCTTGGTTTAATGTTTCATCGAAACACAGCATCTCCGACAATGAAGTACACCCCAGCACATCATTGGAGTATCATCATAGACTGTATGGGTTGCAAATCCTGATGTGGGGCTTAAACCCACAATAATGGCTCTGTGGCGAGAGTGCTACCAAGTGAGCTAGACAATGACACACACAATATTATTATCACTCACGTACTTATCCAGCTACTTTTGAAGCAGTTATTACTGCAGCATCATCTACCTTTTCTTGAGTGTTTGTTCTCATGTCTACTACTCAATGAGAAATAACACTCTTCCAACATTTCATCCCACTGGTGGCTTTTGAACATTAAACCCTCCAGATCTACTCTTAGACGCAAGTCAAACTATCCATTCACCTACATCATGCATGCCTTTTGTCATATTAAAAACCTGGATCATGGCTCCTCTCAAAAGTTTTTCCAATAAGAGTAAGTTTGGCTCCATCAGCCTCTACTCATAACTCCAGGAATAATCTTTTTGCTCTCCTCTGAAAGCCTCCTAATGGTTCAGTGTCCTTTTCAAGGTAGGAACATGGAACATTGGAACTTGAGTGGGCCCATCAAGCCTGCTTGGCAGTGCCAAAACTGCACACTATGGTAAATAACACCTCAGCAGTAATGAACACAAGGTTATGAGACCTTCTTTCAACTTGGTCAATACCCTATTCTTTAAACACTTTGGGATATCTTCCCATCATGAAAGGTGCTACATAAATGTAAATTTGTATAGTAAGTACCCTGGTCAAACACAGTGCATTCTGCATTAGTAATATGGTAAGACCCCAGTATATAAGAGGGCCAAAGGTTTATTTTATAGGAAGTCTTGACTTACCCTTCCAAGCACTTGATATGAAAGTATATGAGAGTAAGCAAGTATAATGAGCATAGTGACAGACTCCAGGAGGAATACAAAAGGAGAAAGAAGTCCACGTATATTGCAACTATCTCACTTCCAAAGAGTGCAGTTACAGAACGTCACACAAATTGCAGGGTGCTGATTGCTGCTCGCTCCAGCCTTGCTCCAGTTTTGTTGGCCCATTACCAGAGCCCTGTGAATGTGCCATATCGTATAACATGCTCTGAAGAATTCTTTCATTCTGCAGGATATCAAAATCTTGGCAATTATAGATTTATTTCTCATTTATCAATGAAACTGAATGTTACAATTACTTCACTGTATTTTAAGATGCAAACTCAACAGAAACAGGAAGCAATTTTCAGGCTGAGAAAATGTCACTTGAGGTGCAGCTATTTCTGTGTCATCACTACTCCACCAGGAGCTGCCTTGCTTCAGGGGCTCCCACTCATTGATGAAGAGAAAGCCAAAGGCAGTAGGTGAACAAAGGGCAAGGCTACCGTTTTCCTCCACTTAATGAAAGCATCTTGCTCTTTAGTGTGTAAAAGCAAGCCAGAGAGAGCTTCCCTACATTGGCAATTATCCGTTTATCAGTTTCTGAAATAAATTCCTTTCTTTGATTTATTTCCAAGCTTTGTAACCCAAAGTAAAAGTGGCAGATGGGAATATGTTCAGGAGCTCCAGAAACTGCCATTTCAATAAAAGACCTCACATTTCGGCAAAATCCCTCAATATGGAATCAATGATTGGTAGCCATGACGGAGAGAGCGAGTAGCTCGACACCAGAAAGCCCGGTCGGTCTCTTGTAACTAATGCACTGCTCCACATATTTTAATACAGAAGTCTACATTGTGCAAGCAATGCTTTGTGCATTGGTACAATTAAAAAACTCAGTATGATAAAACACCATGCTTGTGTTGACACTAAACTCACACCACTTGGAAATATGACAACTCTCTGCACTGCAGTTAAATATGACAATTAACTGCTGTGAATTATCACTCAACCCTGCTCTGTGTACTAGTTCCAGAACTCATTAGTCGTGATCTCCCCGACCAACCTGTGAGACACAGCCTAGTGCCCATCAATGGTATATTACAGATATTGTACCTCCTCATTCCCAAAGCAGGTTTGCAACAGGGAATGGGGAGGTACAGAAAATGCACAAAGCATTTCTTGCACAAGGTTGGTATGGGTATCCGGCACTTCTGCAATATCCTAAAACCTAAATGTCCTGACAGTGGGAGATATTTATTGTTTCATTACCTTTGAATTTCTCCATTTAGTTTCCTGCATATTCCACCTTTAGTTCTGCTACACGATCAGACAGCACTTGTCACATAGTCAAACAAATGTCTCAGTTATTTCTCCCCATCTTCAACATTAATACCCATTTCACCCAGCACTACAGCTGAGAACAAATGCTCTTAATAGTGAGAAGCAGGCAATGCTGACTTATGGCATGAATCTGACACCATCTGATCAAGGACTCTGCTGAACCTCCAATGACTCCTTGTTGAAAAATGACAAGACACGACTGGTCTTATGCTCCAGCTGACACAAGCTAAGGATGCACTAAATGTGGTTACACACAGAAGTATTATAACTGGTTTTCATTCAATGTGTTAAGACCATAGCTGAGTTCACATAATGCGCAGAAATGGGCGGGAGTGGCATTGTCTTAGATAGCTGCAACAGAGAGCAATTCTTGCAATCCCTGGGGGACTACACTTCAATTGTCTCTGTCAGGAGGCCAGAACTCTCCCCTCAGGAGAAGGCAGAGGTACAAAGAGTGTTATCTTTATAAAGGACACCCATGGTTGTTCTCCCAATAGAGTGCATCCCAAACGCTGGTATTTGCAACACAACAGGACTGCTCCTAAACTACTTCCCAGGCTAATTTTTTTGAATGCCATTGTGCACCACTGTTCACACTAGAATATTTTCTACCACTGATCGTCTGCTCGTTAAAGCCAATCCCACTTAATGACCAGGACTTTAGAATCAATGGTGAATTGTTTTTCACACTCCAAACAAGACTGAATCCAATTCAATCTGGTTTGGGTTAAAATTTAAGGATCGCTGATATTACACATCTCCTCTACGGCCCTTTCCAGCAGTTTGCAATGAAATATGGAACAGTAAGTGATGCTAATCCTTTTTTGTTGAAGTATCTGTAATTCATAGTTCCAATAAAACGGTCATCTGAAAATTACAGCTCAGCCCAGGAGACATCACTGGGGAGTAAATTACCACCTTGTGCAGTGGAAAGCTAAATCAGTAGAGTTGTGCAAAATGGATCTCCACAATTTACAGAGTCAGTCGGAAATGAGTTCCACAAGCTTGGCCTCAAGCCAAGAGCATATCTAGCACTAGTTAAAGATTAAGTGGCATTAGAAAGAACTCCAGAATTATAAGTCCTCAGAACGATAAGTACCATAATGTGGATGCTTGGAATGACTGGCTGTAACATTGATTGTCTGAATTATAAATGGGCGAGCAGATAGGCTGAATGTTTCTATCTCAATCCATTTGTGTTTTGTCACCAAAGAATTCATATATAAAACCACCATTGTAAATCTAGTGAGTGATGAGAGGAGCAACTTCTTTTATTATTAAAGAATGACCCTATTATAACATGGTGTTATTACCTGGATTCCTGCACCCAGTGCAGAACGCAGGAAGCCAATCGGTCCGTGGTAGGAGCTAGATTGTACCACACCTCTGGTAATCAAGGAAACCTGCATTATAAACAAACTCATGCTTTAGCGAGGAATTTAATGATGGGTTCACCCTATATTGAGAAAGCCAGGTGAAAAGCCAAGTACCACAGTGCAGGATACTGTTAACATTAAAGATGTTCCCTACATTTGGCTACAGAAGACATAGTTCCTACACTTTACAATATATCCTTGAATCGTTTTAAAACCTCCTCTTGGCATGGTATCAAATGCAAGGATTATTTATTTAGATAAGAGGAGACAGGGTAATACATGCAAATAAATAATAATCCTTGTGTTAGCCTGCAAAATATAGTCACACTTTATAAAAACGTTGTGAATTGCCATGAGATGTGTGAGATGTTATAGGTTTTATATTGAATGAAAGTGTTACTATTTTTATAAAACAGTGGCACTAGGTTTGGGTGTAGGAGGAAGGGAAGACAGATGGGGTCTGAAGAAGCTTGGAAAATAATAGGTTGGAGTCTGATAAGCCTTGAATTCAGTAGAGAAGGTCGGAATAATCCTTACATTTGGTATAGCCTTTATCGTTTGAAGGATATCCCAAAGAGCTTCGCAGGATATTCTGTAAAGTGCAATGAATGTGTGTTTTGTTGGGGAAGATAGCAAGAATAATAATACTAATCCTTGCATTTGATATAGCGCCTTATCAGGTCTTCGAGATGTCTCAAAGTGCTTCATAGAATATTCTGTAAAGTGAATTGATTTTATATTTTGTGGGCAAAACAGGACGCAACAACAACAAATTACACTTGCATAGCCCCTTTCACATTGGAAAGATGTTGGATGCAGTGGGATAAAGAAAAAAATACAGCGACACTATGTGCAGCCAGGCAGAATTGAAGAGAAATATTATAAATATGGATTTTTTTTTACAAAAAAATTTGGCACCTGGTCAGGTACAGGAAAGGAAGACTACATTTCCTATGCTTTAGTCCACTGAGAAACCAGTGACTAGTGTAGACACCACAGTGCAGGCAGGTTATTAGTATTCACATCATGCACACTGAGCCTCCCAGGAGAACGTAAGCAGACGAGCCCATCACTGGCTGATTCCCTGAATCCAGCCTGGCAGCTTCCTTTCAGCACAAACATTTCCACTATCAGAAGGCTGGTCCGCCAATCGCAATGACACATGGTGTAAAATGGCAGCTGATCCCCGAAGCTAAGAAAGCACTCCATGTCTGGATTCATAATATCAAGATACAAAACAGATCCCCCCTCCCCCTAAGATAGTTTTTGAAAAGGGTTAAAGAAGAGTATGTTCACCCTGGAACTTTTTGTCACTAATAAATTACAATTGCAGTCTGGACTTGATTCATCACCGGCACAATGGGGAAAATTAGATGGATGTGAAGAAATGTTGGATTACGAGGGAGAAATTCCAGCTGGGTCTAGATGTTTTGAATGAGCTAGTTTATTGGTGGTGGAGCTGGGGATCCCGAGGCATTAGAAAAATCAAGTCTGGAGTTGACAAAGGCATGAATGAAGGTTTCAGCAGCTTTGGGGTCTGAGTTGGGGCAGAGTGGGCGATGTGGTGAAGATGCAGAAAAGCAGGCCAAGTCAATAAACAGCCAACTTGTTATACAGTAGTTTTTTGAGATTCCGCATTTGGACAAGGTATTCAGGACACTGCTGACTACTATTCAATGTATGAGTGACTAATAATGTTCTAAGAGCAATTAGGTAATTTTAATACATAGGAAAGCAGAATTTTTTCTTCTATGGACGACTGGCAAATTTCATGTGGAACGGCTGCACCTCCGGAATTTCCAAACTCTGTCATTCATCGGGAGATCTGAAATATTCGATTTCCTACAAAATCATTTGTCCTCAGGAAGCTTTTAGAATTTTTTTGAAAAAAAATTTAACTCTTTGATTCTCCTAGTTCTAACACTGAATGTCAGAAGCACTGATTTCCTTGCAACCCATCCTTCTGGTAATGTGCACAAACAGTTACAGTAAAATGAGTGATTACCAAGGCAATGTAAATTTCAATGCAACAAGGTTCCAGAAAGATTTAAGATTATTCACGCATTTTTCTCCTCACAGATTTCTGGATACACTTATGTGTAATGGACGTTAGGTAAAGAGGTGAATGGAAACCGGCTAGATACAGGATTAAGTGTTATTATGATACATTTAGAAAGAGGCAAACTCGATGTATGGAATATGAGCTGCTGGCTGCATAGAAATTATACGCCAAAGAAGGCAACCAGTCAAGAATAAGTAGGATATAAGATTATACAAATTTCCAGGTGTTTTGTTTGATTTTGATTTGGATGAGGGGGAGCACAAAATGCCTTTACTGAACATTTTTCTCAAGAGATGGAACATGTTTGGGAGTGTTGCCAAAATGCACAATCTTTCATAGCCTGTGTTATGTAACATCCAATGTACTGCGATTGAGCAAGATGTGCAAATATCACTGAATGAGTTGATAAGCCACCAATGTGGTCTACGACTGTGGACAGTTTGTATTCCGTATAGTGACGTTAGTTGAAACAGAAGCCTGATAACTGCAGTGAGGTAAAATATCGATTTTATTTTAGTTCAAGCTGTTCATAAATGGCATCCCATCTGTTGCAATAGTATAGAGTTTGCTGATAATACTTGATATGTGATGGATACTACACACATCGCATTACAGAGCTGCCACTAACAAACCCTTTCTGCAAAGGGCATTTTTAGGACAGACATCAGGGAGCATTTCCTTAGCCAGTGGATAATTAGGGGCTGGAACTGGTAACCAGGAAGGTCCAATGAGGCCAGGATACTGGACTCGTTTCAGATGCTGCTTGATGCTGAAATGGGAGGACCATAAGGCGGGTGTTATATGGCAGAGTGAGATCAAATGAGCCAAAGGACCTAATTCTTCTGACCCTCTCTTGTGAGCTTGTGAATACACCTGACAATTTTGCATTGTTATAAAAAATATCATCTGTGGAGTTTTTCTGAAACAACTGAAATGCGAGCAGCAGGGCCCTGCCAGCACGTGGTGCCTTGGTGTGGTGGTCGCAGGCTCGGGTCCTATTCCTCCGCTGGGGCCGCGAGGAAACTTGAGCACAAGGCAGACGATTTCTCACAGAGAGAAAGAGGCAGAATCTTGCTCGAGTTTTTCTCTTTCAGCTTGCATTATTTGGGGGAGAACGACAACAACAGCTTGCATTTATATTGCGCCCATCACACGTGGTAGCATCCCGGAGCAAGTTAGATCATGGATAGGGAAGAAACAAGGATTTTAAAATCTGAGAAAATAATAATAATCTTTGCATTTGATATAACGTCTCAACACACCAGTGAAATGTCTCAAAGGATTTCACAGAATTTACTATAAAGTGTAATTATAATAAAAACAACAAGCATTTATATAGCGCCGATCACGCAAGGTCACGTCCCAGAACCCTTCCTGAATTTGCAGGCAAATGTCTCATCCAAAGGACACACAGCACTCCCCTAGCACTGCATAGGAGTACCTAGACTGTCAGTTCAAAGTCCCCATGTAAGATTTGATATGGAGCCCACAAACTTCTGACTCAGGCGAGAATGCTACCAATCGAGCCAGTGACATCTAATCTGACATATAATTTTCCACTACCTCGAACTACAGTATTAACCTATATCAGCTTCCTGAAAAGCTGTGGACTTAAAATTGCCACCGAATCATTTTTAAAAAGTACACACACACACAACCAGCTAATTCTGTTGTGGATGTGACACGGTCAGCACAGTGTTGCACCACTGCTGTTGAAAACCCCACATGGATGTACAACTACAGGGAAGGTTTGAGAATGAACAAGACATAGCCCGCAACCGGTACAATTACACAAAAAACATTTGAAGAACATTTTGTTCAAATTCTTCCCCAGCCTCTCGTACTAATTTGACTGGAGACTGGAAGAGTGGAGTGAAAGGAGACACACTGGTGAGACGCTCATTAGCACATTCACTGAGCTGACATTTCCACTTGGTCCTATAATCATTTCACCTAATCCCTATCGAGTCCCTCACATCAACTGGAAGATCACTGGTTAGCCGTGCCATTCACATATGGTGTGCACATAATTACACTCATTTCATTTTGCAGTCCATAAAGATGATGACTTTCTGGCTATGTGCCACCGTTTCACCCGCACTAAATATGCTGAATGTCGCAGAAAAGGGAGGGGGGGGAGATGGAGTTTCAGCTCCAAAGCAGAATCGACAGACAGCTGAAGAAAGGCACTGAAAAGACATCTCTTCCACAGAGTTAAAAAAACTTAATAAATAACCACTTTGTACATAGAAGATTTCAATAATATTCATCTTTCGTTTGCCTGTATTTTGCTTTCCATTAGAAGCAACACGATACAGCTCCAATCTTACACATTCCTCCAACAATGGATCCTCCTGGATCTGACAGTGGGGGTGTCTATAAAGAGCAACAACTACTGCACCTTGGGTTTCCTGAGGGACAGAATACACCACTGTAGCAATACACATCCTCCAACAGCTTGACCTAACATACACAAAACCCACTTCAGGCACCAATAATGAACAAACAACCAGCTTTGACTAACGCCTTCAACTAACGTCTTCCACAGTCGGCATTGCTCTGAGTTTCTGACAGATTGGTCTACATCTTAGCAACTTACTGTGTATTCCAAAATACAATTAACACAAAATGTTATGTACAGCTGTTACCTGCTCTCAACCACGTTGTGTGAAAGAGGGAGAGCAAATCAACCGGGGTACTCGCTTATATACTTCTGTGGATGGTTAGACTGGAACAAGGTTGGAACTGACACTCAATGTCTTCTCTTGAGCCATGCAAAACCATTATTTCGCCACTGTCATATCCCACCAGGTGGCCTAGTGTTGAAGATTGTGAGTGCAGTGCAAAAGGAGCCCAGGTGAGTCTGCCAACAGCACAATATCACGTATAAAAGAAGTGCCACAACCCTGTCAAAAAGGCCTGGACAGATACACCAAGTCCAGCTTCAGAGGCAATATCTCGCCTGAGGCATTAGCCAGTAGGTAAGTGTCTGGAGGACATCAAATTGTGGAGCACATCACTGCTGATTCTGCCTCCAGCTCTCCCAACTCACCCCCTACCCCACACACTCACTTCACAATCTCAAGATCAAAATGTCAAAATTTGAAATTGTGCAGTATTTTAGAAATTCTTAAATTGAGCCTTAATTTGGATAACGGTTTCCTGCACTTCTAAACATCAGTTTCCCAATTTTTTCCAAAATTCCTCACTCTCTTAAACTTAAGAGAGTGAGACTTTCTCTCCTCTGATGTCCACCTTCCAGCCAACAGTCACTAACTATTTTTATTCCCCTAAACTGTCTGCCCTACTGATTGTACTGACCCAATCTGAGATCGGCTAACTCAGCAACTATTCCCAGGATAATCCTGGGAAACATCCTGGGCTCTATGGCTCAATTGCTGCAACAGGTTTGGGATTTACACCTTTGAACAAACCTTGAACTGTGCGAGTGGAACCCGAACAAGCCTTTAAGACATCTTATACAAGTCTGATTCACAATGAATGGCTAAGTTATTTAATTCTCAGATACATCTTTTAAAAAAAAGCTTAACACCATTTCTATAGTATGAAAGTGATCATTGAATATCACCTGTTGAACACGATGGGACCCAGGGCTACTTTCAAACGGCCAACCCTCCGCAGTATGTGGCAGACTCTGGCCGCATCACATGAAATGATATAAATACAAGGTAAAATATACAGAGATTTTCAAAAAATTTCACAATGACAATATATGGCTTTCATCTATCAAATATGAGTGAATATGCTGTGCCTATTCCAATCTTCACAATTCATTTATCTTAAGAATGGTGTTTCCAGCTAAATACTTTCTATACGCAATGGGAGAATGCTGGATATTCGCTGTACATATTTGCCTGCACCTACTGTATTGAATATAACTATACCAATTGATTTCTTTTGTGTAAACAGAATTCTTCACAAATTCTCCTCAGGGCAATTTTTAAAAATTATTTTGTTTAAAAACAGAAACTTAACACAAATTGGACATGGTTAAGATTTTGCACATCAATTTGCAGGTCTTAAGAAAATTGTTTTGATTCACCGCAACTAAGGCCACTGTCAGCGTCATAAAAACATTAATATAGTGTGACATCTTTTCTTTGCCCTGCTATGCTAGTAAACGTCAATGTGCATTCTCGTTTTGTGGCAAAGACTATTCTCAAAATTAGATATGACTGGACTCTGTGGACATTGACCAGTCAATTTCTAACCCTGTTAAGTGTAGCGCAGAAGCAAGGACTATGGTTTGTCTGTTCTTATAACCGTCATGTTTATCCTTATTGTGATCTGTCGGACATAAAAAAATTATCTAGTGGGTCCTTTTTTTTCCAATTGAATGAGCTGCCTTTTTGGACGTAGGATTAGGCATCAAAGGGCTATGAACACTTGCAACTAAATAAAACTTTTTTTTTGGAAAAATGGGTTTTCCCTCCACGTTTTGGTCAAATATAATTTGGGGTAAGGATTGCACAATAAAATACCAAGCCTCACTTGTTTGTCCAGAGCCTGGTGACCTGAGTAGGTAAAATGATGGGCTGCCACTCAGCTTCCTCTCCCTTTAACTGGCCATTATGGATTGTCTGATGTTTAGCATGAGACAGGATACGTTTTTTTCCGGATGAGGTTTTCCTATCGCAACATGCCTCATCTAGTGACTGGACACAAATTCTTGGAGGCTAAGAATCTCAGGCAAGATTGGGATTCCAATTCAGAGACCCCAGCTAGAACTTCATTGCTCTTCCAGAGGAGATCTGCACTCCTTGGTGCCATAGGGAGCAATTGCAAAGCTGTAATCCCACCACCATGGAATTTAAATGACATCAGGTAAAACAAGAGGATATTTCCATTACTTCAATCTGTGGGCAAGATAATAGCCTTAAAGGAATTCCATCCAGGGTAGATTATTGTTTGCACTCTACAGCACAAAATTCAGAGGTTGGTCTTATTTAGCCTGAGGTCTCCCTCCCTTCTCCAAAAAAGTCTGACAATCTGCAGACTCTGTGGCATTATTGTTTTAAAATATTGATGGCAATCGTGTGATACTAAATAATGGGGGGTGGGAGGGTTTAATTCACAGCCAGGATACATTATAATGTTGCATATCTGATTCCAATGAGCATTTCTGAATGTATACCGTAATATTTATATATAGCCTTATGTATATACCCCTAAAGGTTTATTTTGGGTGAGTATTACGGTGTACTTTCACTTTGCATTCCACTCATAGGATCTAAAAGAAACAATGTGGAAAAAGCGCTGGAGACACCCTAAGAGGAGATTCTAGTTCTGATCCCAGGCTCGACTAACAATCTCACCCTAGCTTTATCTGAGTGTCTGGTCACATGACGATTGGTGGATGGGTGGGGGAACGTAACGGACATAAATAGAAAGAGAACAGTTCTCTCTTTTTGGAAGAGCAGTGCCTGGAAAGGCAATTCTGCTCTTCCAAAACAGGATTAAAAAATATACTGAGTGAAACTGAAAAAAAACATGATTTCCCCCAAACTTCTAGGTGCAGAACCCAAATAGCTTGAACTTTAAAATAATCAGCATCAAATCTATGCAATATCCTCATTTAACTGTGTGATATCTGAAGTCAAACAAACTAAAGACAGGGATGACCTATTTGCTGAAAGCAAATTTATTTTGATTCTCCAAAAAAAGTGTTTTAGAAATATATTTGGTACATTAACACTGAACCTTATCAAAATACAAGTTCATTGAAGCTTACTGTGAGGCTGGAGTGTGTTTATGCAAATAATGTTCTGCTGAATTTCTTTAAAAACTGAGCTTTGACAGTTTTTGAAGCACAGTCCTGCAGCATCTTATTCTTTCGTGAGCTCTGACTGGATTGGTTTTGGACTATCCGATTAAACTTTGTTCACTAATTAAATTGCAGACATGGGCAACAGGAAAACATTATGACGAGCGATTGAACGTTTTTAATTTGAACAAAAAAGCATCAAATCCACTATCTACCTGGACAATACAAACTAAGGAGAAATTCTCTGCAGTTGGATAAACAAATCTCCAGGCAGGTCAGGAACCAGCTGCAATCTCTAACACAGAGGACTGCAGTTGTATTTTCTGCACCACAAATAAAGTAGGGAAAACAAAACAAATCAAGACTGCATTTTTCTGCTTTATTAAAAAAACTGTAGATTAAGAAAATGTTCTACAATGGTGTACACAGCTCCAACTCATAGCATTAGAAATTTACAATTGTTTTTGTAGGTCGTTGTATAAGAAAAAACATATTTGGACGTTGTTAGCTGCAAAGGGTACTCAGCACTCAAAGAGTCAATGCACAGAGATGGTGCAGCAGGGTGCACAAGTACAAATACAGCCCCATTTCAAACAAGATTATTTACCAACAGTTTTAAAAGAATCCAACATGGCAGATGTCAAGCGATATATTCCTGATGTTTTCTGCAGTGATTATGGATGCCCGAGTTATCAATTAAAACAGGGACAAAACTGAACTCTGAGTCACGATTGATCAGAATGATTTATAATAATGTATATTTTGAAGCTAACTTTCTAAATTTTCCCTTATGATCAAAAAAACAAATGAAGCCGATGACGCATTTCCAAGCTAATCCATAATGTTGCTGTGAAAATCTGGTTCCGGTCTAAACTGGACACTTTGTACAAATATTGGAGCATGTGGATGAGTATTGCTTGCTCATTGGTTTCATGGACTCCCGATACCAGTATTGCTTTGGAGTAAAACTACCTCTTGTGGCTCATGTTATTTGCATCTCTACGCTGACCAGTCGATATCCAATTAAATGTAATCGATAGGAAAGATTAAGCCACAAGCTTATCCCTTCACCCTTTTCTTTTGTGCAAGGGTCAAATCCCAGGCTGCTCTGGGAAAGCTTTGACAGAAGGCATCCATTCCATCACTTAATCCGACATCGTTTAACTGTGAGAATATATGTATTGATGATGCACGGGGTTAAGAAAAAGTTATTTGGTCCATAAAGTCTGCTTTTTTCAGATCATGCATAACCTACTGTTATGTATTCCTCCTCCCGAGCTCCCCCCCCTCACCCCCACATTTACTGGGTGGGAAATCTGAAGTAATTTACCCTAATCCCAAACGTAAAGAACCCAAACTCCATCCAACACCCGCAAAATATACAATCACTGCACTTTATAGTATATTCTATGTAGCACATTGGGATGTGATAGGCATTATACCAAATGTAAGGATTATTATTATCTCCAATTTCCTCTATTCATCCCTGGCCTGCCTACCTCCACAGACATTTTCCTCACCTTCCCCACCCCATAGCCAGCAGTACAGAACCGATTGTGTTATGAAACTCTCTTCCTCTCTCTAAAACTCAATATTGTGTTCAGCCAGATCTTTATCCACTTCTTTTTGACGGAGTTAATTGACACAGTTGTCCTAATTCAACCTTAATTATTGTTCTGCGTTTACTTTCTCTACCCCATTATCATACATAAGTTAGGTGATTACTGTGTGGCACCTCACTATAGAAAGACTATCAAACCCATGGAAAGGGTTCAGCAAAGTTTCACGAGGATGATACCAGAGAGAAGGGCATCTGAGGAGGTGAGGACACTTTCCAGTGGAGCAGAGAAAGTTAAGGGTGAAATTATAGAGGTTTTGAGGGAATAAATCGTGTGGAACTATTTCTACCAGTAAGTGATCTGAGGACAAGAGGGCATGAATTTAAGATTATGACTAGGAGAGTAAAAGGGGATCCTCAGCTTGGGATGAAAAAGTGTTTGCAATGTTTAATCTTTGTTTTAATTCCTGTTTTGTGTCTATTCACAGCTGGTGGGAGGGGGGCAGTACATGTGTGAGATCCACTTGTGAGATCCAAGCCCTTTGTGGTGGGGGGGGGTGGAATTGTGAACAATAAAAGATGCACTCAATATCACTACAGTACAGTCAATCAGGAGGTCCTCGGTCTTGCTGACATTCAACTGAAGAAAGTTAGCTCTCATCCAGGACTTGATGTCTGACAGCCATTCTGTCAGGACAGCAGTGGTCCTGGAGTCAAGGGTGGAGGCAGAGAGGTAGAGTTGGGTGTCATCCGCATACATGTAGAAATTGACCCCATGTCTGCGGATGATGTCACTATGAGGGAGCATAGAGATATTGAAGAGGAGGAAACCAAGGACAGAGCCCTGAGGAACTCCACATGAGATGGTGTGGGGGCTAGAGGAGAAACCGTTTGTGGAGATGAAGTGGAGGTGGTGTGAGAGGTAGGTTCTGAACCATTCATGGACAGAACCATGAAGGTTGAGGTGAGAGGAGAGGTGGTGGATCAGGATAGAGTGGTCAACGGGATCGAAGGCAACAGAGAGGTCAAGGAGGATGAGGAGGCAGAGGGGGAGTCATGGTTGCAGATGGACAAAATGTAATTTGTCACTTTGACCAAAGCTATATCTATGCTGTGGGCAGCACGGAAACCTGTTTGGAGAGGTTCGTGAAGGGAGTGGAAGGAGCAAAGCTGGGAAGCAACGACTTATTCCAGGGCCTTGGAAAGGAAAGCTGGCGCTGAGGCGGTAGTTTGAGAGCAGAGATGGGTCCAGGGAGGGTTTTTTAAGAATAGGAGTGATGACGGCCATTTTTAATGGGGTGGGAACAGTACCAGTGGACAGGGAGAGGTTTATGATGTCGGTGAGTAGGGGGGCAAGGAGGTGGAGCTGGGAGGTAAGGAGAGGGTAAGGATGGGGTCGAGGGAGCTGGTGGTCAGTTTCATGTGAGTTATGGTGGTGATGAGAGAGGAAGGGGTTGACAGGTTCGAAGGTATGGAGGGACAGATGGGTAGGGGCCGGGGTGTGATGGAGAGATGGGGAGGGGGTCGTGGTCGGAAGACCAGAGGCAGCTGAGCGAATTCTTTCGACTTTGGTTTCGAAATAAACCTTCTGGGCGAAACGTGGCAGCCAGTTGCGCGCATCAATGTGCCGCAAGCAGCCATGGAGTGAGCGACCAATTACTTTGATGAATCAAACCATGTGATTAATTGATCTCTGCTGGGTTTCTGTGGTAACTACTTCCGTAACAGTAACGGGCAATTGTGTTAAATGTAGCTTAGAGGCTGCACATACAATCCCATGATTACAGCAGCGTCAGTGTACAGCTGTCAGCCGAGCACTGGGAGCTGGGGTTCGTACACCTGTGTGAGAACCTATTGTTTCTCAAAGGCATCAAAGCGAAAAATACTCAACAAGGTTAAGAATCCGTGACTATTTTTACTTTTTCTTTTAGAAAAAAATCAGTTGAGAGCTAAAGCCATTTAATCTAGTATTTCTGGCAATGTCAACTTTGAGTTGACCACACACAAAACAAAATCACATCTGTCAACACAAATTCAGCAGCTGCAAATATTCACAGTAACTTGATCCTGGTGTGCTTTTGTGGCGCGATGTGTTTAATGGAGAATAATCACAACACTCTTCATCCAACTCTCGAGAACAATGCAGAATCATTTTCTTCACCCCTCCCACCTTTTAAATTGTTTTTTTCTTTCTAAAAGGAGCATTGCTTCCCATTGAAATACGCAGGATGTGGCATTGTATCATTTTATCACACTGACTCCAATAGGGAATATTTTGAGAGATTAAAATAAACTCTTCTTATTACTGTACATACAAGAAAGACAAGCGTGACAATAAGAAGCCAGATTATATGGTTTCTAGGTTAGTAAAGGTGCTAGAAGCAAAATGCATATTTATATCACCAAATGCGGTGTAACAGAGCGCTGGTATTCCTGCAAGACAACAACAACGTGCATTTATATAGCACCCTTCATGCAGGGTAGAGTCCAGAGCGCTTGACAGTGGCGGAGCACAACTCTGGGGGGAGGGGGAGGTGACCGTAGGCACAGTCGAATAGGAAGGTTCAGGCTCAACTGGAAGATGGGGAAGGAAGGCACAAGGTGGAGGGATAGAGGGATAGAGAAAGAGTGTTCCAGAATTTCAGGGCATAGTGGCTGAAAGCACAGCAATCAATGGTGGAATGGAGGGCACGAGGGACATGCAGAAGGCTGGAGCCAGTCGAGCAGAGGCAGCAGGTTGTGGGTTGGGGGATAAGCAGGTCGGAGAGGTAGGTAGGTGGCAGGCAGGGTATGAAGGGATTTGAAAACGAGTGTGAAAACGAGTGTGACACAGATAGTTACACCCAAGACATTTATTTGCTGCCGGTCATTTGAAATTTCTATATCTCATGTACCTGAAGGAGTGACCTGAACGCTGGCTGCCACAGTCAGTGCAGAGGAAGTGTGAGTTTTAAAAAGTTCATTTTCTTTTTGGAGTTGTGAAGAATGTATGAGACTGTTTCCATGCATTTCTAAACTTTCAAACTACATTTAGTACTAACCGTTCCTTGATACCAGGTTCAACTAATGCCACTTAATGCAAATTTAAACAACTTAAATCCCGAAATTCCCCCTCAAAGTGATGTTCCTAATCAGCAATGATTTAACGGATTGCTGAGGACAATTCTTTGTCCTCAGCAATCAGTTAAATAAAAATTCCCGTCTTGCCCACTTAAGAGCAGCATTTGTAGATAAAAGTAGACACTAACACATACAACATCAAATGTATCAAATATAAGGTGATTATCATATGAAAAACGTATTTAGGCCACTTATATGGCTGTGGTATTTTCACTCATATTACGCAAATCAATCCCAGACTCCTATTATATAGGGAGAATCAAACTAATTAGTTTACATCTATGTACAGGAGTCAAACATGAGGATTGCACTGTGCCTGTGGGAATGCTTTGCAGCTTTTCCCTGGTACAAACTGTAGTTCCTTTTTAAATGTGAAGTTACTATAAATGTTATAGAACACAGATGTGTACATACAAAACCTTACCATCCAGGTTGGTATAAGGTCGAACAGAGTTGACTAAAACTGAGCGTTACCAAATCCAGCTTTTCCTGGGCTGATGAGGTCTGAGATTTAGAACATAATTTTAATCTGTTAAAATGTGGCTCTAATTCAAAGTGATGTCCTTTTTAATTAGCATTGGTAGAATTTAAGCCTATAAATGCTGAATGACTTTGTCACGTTGTATTCTCAAAAATATTTTGCAAATATTGCAGAGCAGTAAAAGAAGTAACAGATTCACAACACTCTTAACCAGCACAACAGTTCCCTTTTACAGCTCCACTCAAGACACAATACTTAGTCACCAAACATAGAATCAATGGAGGGATCTCAAAATCAGCAACTAAGCCTATATAAACAAGCCTCACACTTTGTAAAATGCATGCACTTTACAAATGTGTACAAACAACAAAACATGAAGCACAAGAAATACGTTAAAGGAAGAAAACAGTTTCATTCAAATATTAGCATGATATTGCTTGGTCAGCAATTGAAAGTAAATATCTGAGTTGAGCTTCACTAAGCAATGGACAAGTATTTCAGCTTCCACTACAGGCACTAGGAAAACTACAAGTTTTCTACAATTAGACCACGTTACATAAGCAGGTAGTGGCTGAACCACCATCCGGGGACGATTCTATTTATGAGACCAAATTAAAAGTCCATTTTTGTGTTCGGATACAGTCCCTATCATTACTTCACATATTCTACGGCCACAATAAGCTTGAAGCTATATTCCTGCCAAAGTCAACATTTTAATCAATTCACCATCAGTTTCAGTTAATCCTCCAAAAGAAATCTGTTTCAGTTCAGTTTGTTTCCACAGCTCTGACAGCTCCAACTGGGTACAGTTCAATGAGGCTCTTTGACGATTATAACAATTTATTTTAGATGCCTTTACTGAAGCTATCTATCTCTAACTACCATGAGGTAGAAAACAAATCAGGATTGATATAGGATGTGAATTCTTATAAATTTAAATTTACTATAAATGTGTTTAGAGCAAGCTTGCGGGAATACTAAGATATGGCGTTTCTTTCTGAATTCCCTCATGGTCTGACTGCAATCAATAATCCACTTGACCTCCTTTTCAATGAATGCCTTTTCATAAAATTCACAAATGTTTAAACAAACAATACTTTGTGGGTTTCCTCACGGATCTTTCAGGTACATCGACAAGTCCATTTCAACTTTAAAAAGACAAGGTAATATATCTGAGAGCTGGACAGACTACATATAATCTGGTAAAAGCCGTACATTCAGGTTCTGGTGATCTGCAAATTCTGATGTGTGATGCATAAGATCAGTCTTTAACCCCTTTGAGCACTGAATATCCCTTTGCAGCTTAAAGAAATATACTATTTCTGATAAATATTTATATATAGCATTTGCAGAAATGAAGGTTTGTCAAATTCCAGTGATAATCAAATATTCAGAAATGTACAGAAGCTTCAAACATGATTAAACTTTTCTAGACATCTTGGTGGCAAATAGTAGTATCTGTTGGCCATGTGAGTGGGAGTTGTGCCTTAGAGACCCAGAGTTTCCCATCACCTCATGCAGGTGGGTTTTCTCTGCTTTACTGGAGTGTCACTCGGAGCCAAAGATGATAGGAGGTGGCGAAGGAGGGTATGAGTCGGTGTAGCTGGCATTAGCCGACCATGAGCATCCCTTCTGTCACAAATAGAAAAAAGTGACAAAGGGAACACACACTACGAGAGTGGGGTAGGGTGTATGTGTGTGTGTGTGGTGGGGGGGAATATCAGAGAAAAGGGGAGAAACAATAAAAATACATTTTTATATTCTGGTGCAGAATTACTGTTGCAGTCCTCAATCCTAAAAATAGTCAGTTTTCATACCACCTATTCATTTAGGGGAGAAAAAAATGGTTTACATGAGCTCAGACTCTCACGGGAAACACTAGATGCTGTGAATGCCAAATATTACCGCATCTCTTCACAGTTCTACATTACTCTATAAGTAGGATCTTCTAAATGGTCTCTTACCTTGTTACGCTTGAAATAAGCCCGTCTGCAGGCTGCAAAGCATTTTTCACTGCAGAAACTTTTTACCTCGCTTCCCATGCTGAGGGAGTAACGTTTAATTCCCAGCTTCTGGCACCAAGCACAAACTATCTGCACATTTACCATTTCATCCTCTGAAATACACAAAAACAAAAAGAAAGCAAAAAATTATCAGCAAAACCATTTTTAGTGTTTTTCTTTCAATGTGCCTTAAACCTGTCTAATACAGGCATCTAATATTTATTGCTACATCCCTACAGGAATGCAGTTCAAGCATTCCACAGCTTGAATTCAGCCTCCCTTTGGCACCTGGTGAGGATAACCTCAAAAAAGTTGCATCTTCCCAATTTAACTTTCAGAGATGCTCGGTTATGTCTGCAGGGTAGAGACATACCCAACTGTTGGGATCTAACAACACTATTTGAGATAAGAGAATTGATTACATCTATAATAATAATAATAATAATCCTTGCATTTGATATAGCGCTTTTCACGTTGGGAGGACGTCCCAAAGCGCTTCACAGAACACACTGTGAAGTGAATTGACTGTATATTTGTGGGCAAACGCGGCAGCCAATTGCGCACAGCAGTGTCCGACAAACAGTGGTAGATTGAAAATGACCAATTTATTATTGTTTTTGGTTTTGGAGGGATTATTATTAGGCGTGTGGAGTAAGGAAACTTGCCCAAGGTTTCGCCCTGCCTGGAATTGAACCCAGGTCTCTCGCTTGCAAAGCGAGTGCTCTAACCACTGAGCTACAGGACTCCACTAGATTTCCCATCATTGCAAGTGTTTGAAAGAGCTCGATTACATCCTCATGCAATCTTCCTTTTTCCTTATCACAGACATGAACAAGCAAACACACACATAGTAAAAATCCTTTTATAAAGAATAGAGAGGAAACCGCCAATGATATTTTTATCCTGATCCATTAAAGAATTTAAATTCCCTCATGTAACTGCTCAATATTCCTGTCACTTTTAATTCCCATTTATTATAAGTCAGACCACAAATCGCACCGAGAGCAGTGCAATCACGTAAATAACGGTAAACCGGATGTGTGCAAAACAGTTCAAATCAGAAACAATCTTTTCTTTCAGTCAAACAGCTGCTGAACAACCACTCATTTGTCTCTCCCATGTGGTTACAATTAAACAGTACAGTAGAAGCTCTGTGTAACAAACATTCCCTCATCAGCTCAGGGTCCGCTCGCTTGCCACTAAATAAAAATTGCAATTGTGTCCTGAACATGTTTTTAACTGGACTGTATGAATCCAGCACTAACATCTACTCCTAGCTTGGCTCCGTTATTATCACTTGCATGTCATGTCTTTAACCCATTATCCCATGTCCTCTACCCTATTTTCTCCTCTGTCTTCCTTGCCCTGCCTCCCCACTCTCTGTTAGCCCTTAAAAGCCTCTCCCTCCCAACATGCCCCAGTTCTGAAGAAGGGTCGTGGACCCGAAACATTGACTCACTTTCCTTTCTCCATAGATGCTGCCTGACCTGCTGAGTGTTCCCAGCGACTTCTATTTTTGTATTAAACCCTGGTATTGTTTGTTCAGGTAGATCCCACAACATTATTTGAAAAGAGAGCAGAGTTTCACCTTGTGTCCTGACCAACAGTTCTCCAGATGGATTTGTTATTTCCCTCATAATAACAATGTGTCAGGCTGGCTCACTTGGTACCAGTCTTGAGTCAGAAAGTTGTAGGTTTAAGGTCCACATTGGGACTTAGAAGTCATACAGTCTAAGCTAACACTCCAATGCAGTGTTGGAGGTGTGCTGCATTGTTGGAAGTTTCATCTTTGGATCAGATGCTAAACTGAGGTCCCATCTGCCTGTTCAGATGGATGTTAAAGATGCCAGGACACTACTCAATAAAAGGGAATTTCTCATAGTGCCCTGGCCAACAAACCTCAAATAAAATTGATCATTTACTCCATGGCTGTTTGTGGGATGATGTTGTGCGTAAAATTGCCTGCAGTGTTCACTCACATCACTCTACTTTACATTATATCCTGTGAAGCACTTTGGGATAATAATAATCCTTGCATTTGATATAGCGCTTTTCACGTCTTCTTGACGTCTCAAAGCGCTTCACAGAATATAGTCAATTCACTTTACAGTATATTTGTGGGCAAAACGTGGCAACCAATTGCAAACAATAGTGTCCCACAAACAGTCGTAGATTAAGTGACCAAATAATTTTTTTTTGAAGGATTATTGTCCCCGGAAAAGCAATCCGCCAATTGACTAAAAACCGGGATCCTATTACTGCTAGGTAAACAGAGGCATGTGGAGTAAGGAAACTTGTTCAACGATTCACCCTGCCGGGAATCAAACCCAGGTCTCGCTTGCGAGGCGAGTGCTCTAACCACTGAGCCACAGGACTCCATGATATCTTCCTGATATATTTAATCATAATAATAATCATCCTTACATTTGGTATTGCGTCTTTCACATCGGGAGGCCATCCCAAAGTGCTTCACATGATATAATGTAAAGTGCAGTGATTGTGTGTTTTGCGGGCAAATGTTATGCCCGTTTGTGAGATCTTATAAATATTTGGCAATGGTTGCTCATGAAATGCTTCGACATGATATAATGCCTTTAATAATCCTTGCATTTGATATAGCGCTTTTCACGTCGGGAGGACATCCCAAAGCGCTTCACAGAACACATTGTAAAGTGAATTGACTGTATATTTGTGGGCGAACGCGGCAGCCAATTGCGCACAGCAATGTCCCACAAACAGTCGTAGATTGAAAATTACCAATTTATTATTGTTTTGTTTTGGAGGGATTATTATTAGGCTCTGTGTGGAGTAAGGAAACTTGCCCAAGGTTTCGCCCTGACCTGCCTGGAATTGAACTCGGGTCTCTCGCTTGCAAAGCGAGTGCTCTAACCACTGAGCTACAGGACTCCAGGTCTTTTATTATTATTTATTATAATGCCTTTGACACAATAAAGGACTACAAAAAGCCAAGTGAACGGTCCAGCACCTTGGGATAACCTCCCGATGTGAAAGGGCTATAGAAATGTAAAGTTGTTGTTGCTGTTGTAGAAAATACTGCCTACAGTACACATGATCAAAGTATTCCCCTATAAAATGCACACACTGTATAATATACCCTGTAAAGTGCTTCGAGATGTGAAAGGAGCTACACCAAATCTAATGAATAATATTTATCATTTGACAAGCTCACTATTACGTGTCAACTTGTGATGATTCTGTGCGTTAGAAAATGCAACAGCCTGATCTGTCTCCTTATTCACTTCAGCTTTCTCAACCCACTCCCCTAGGGTGCACTTTACACATTTGTTTCCTTCCAGGCAGTTGTTAGTGCTCCTTAAGGGTTAACCTGCAATTACTGGCTTAAATACCACCAGAAAGCTGTGTTAGGATGGAGCTGGATAGCCAGGGGTTGTGTGGCTGTGGTGAGCTTTCCATCCAACCCTCAAACCAAGCAAACTATTCAATGTGCCACATGTTTAAGGCTGGCTTCTGTTCCAATATCTCGAAAGGCACAAACTCCACTGTAAGAAATATAACCAAAGAGGGAGCAAGAGAGAGAGAGAGAGATTGCTTCGCCAAGTGATGCGTCACCTCATATTGCTTTCAAACAACAGAGGCTACAGAATCTGCTTTACGTGAGAGCCTCCTCTGCACTCCTGTTTTGATCGGACCAACTAAATTCACAGGGAGAAGCAATCATAATAAGCACAGGGTTTATACACAGAGCAAAACAATGAATGCACACATACTATCTTTTGAAACTGACTGCACTGATCGATGGTTACAGTGTGGGTGGGGGGGAGGGGGGCAAGAGTGAGTTATTCCGCATTCAGATTCCAAATCGACGGGATAAATAAGAAACAGTTTATTGACTGAACATAAAAGGCAATTATGATGTATCCTTATCACCAGGTATTTAATAGTGCTTTTCGCGTTGAAATGACGTCTCAAAACACTCCACACAACTGATTGCGAGTCTGAATTGGGGGGAGGAGGGGAAGAGAAATAAGGGAGGCGAGATGAAGAAACTTTGGATAAGGAAACTAGGACTCGAGTCAAATGGATCAAAGAGCATGTGTCTAGTTTGCAGAGGGATGTTCATTCAGACCACACGGAAAGAGACGCAGACAAAGAGAGAGAGACGCACATCAGTGAGACAGTGACAATGAACCATGCAACACTGGTGGGAAGGCAATAGAAAGACACAGAAACATTACCTTAAATTGGGTTCTTTATTACACATCTCTTTATTGATGTACATTTTTGGTTTTCAAATAGTTTTATTACTGGTGGCTGGATTGCCATTTCAGGAAAGCAAAAATAAAAGAGAAAAGCATCCAGCCACACAGTCTGGGTAGATACATATGGAGCATAAAACAAGCAACTCTTTCCTACTGCAACCAAGAGATCCGGTCACAGCTGAACCCGTGTTTAACAGCTCCACAGACATTCCATAGCACAACCATGTGCCCAATGCAGTGCATATTACAAGGCTTGGATAAGATGATAACAGTCATCTCCTGCCAGTCACATGATTGATAATTAGAACCTGCTTATCTCAAATCACATCAAATGACCAATTACTTCTATTTCAAACGCTCTGGGACGCTACCCTGAGTGAGGGGATTATATAAACACAAGTTGTTGTTATTTGGTGATGTCAAAATGGTAGCCACTTGGTGGAAAAAAAGGTCACATTATTTCAACCAGCCTTCTTTTTGTGTTTTGGGGTTGGAAATTATGTTTTATGCTTTATGAAATAATATGCACTAACAAAGGGGCTTAGTACTGTTACAAATTTCTCAGGGTTACAAGTCTGTTAGCACTGATCAAGCTATGATTGGTCTGAAACCTCATATTGAATACAGAAAATGGATCCTGTAAGTGAGTTTCTAGTCAGGAAATGGACTGAGGAGTTCAGACAACATCAAATCCAGGAGAGTGAATCTCAAGTGGTTTATGTTTGTTATTCGAACCCAAGGATAGGATTACTGCTTTACCATTAACTTCTAGGGATCAGTTACCATTTATAATACCTAGCAGACAGTGAATATTAATGGTAAAAGGATCTCTTCTCGCTTGTCTGGTTCTTTGATGCAGTGATTTTCCGATG